AAGCATCTTGGTAGCTTCCAGCCATTCCCCTCCTGAGTGCTCCTTCTGGTGAAAGAGGTTCTCACTATCAATCCAGAGTGCCAAGAATTTGTTGCTTCCAGTGAGGAGGGGAGCTGTAAGAGAGCTGCCACAGTCCCATCTCCTTGGCTCAGAAAACTGATGAGGTCACTGAGTGTTCCCAGGTACCATGCTGCAGGAGACCCAGTATCATCTGCACGCTCAGGCATCCTCTGTTCCTCCCACACCCCATTCCTGTCTGACTTCTCCTCTCAGATAAATGACGTGTCCCAAATCTTTGTCTCAGGGTCTACTTCTGGGGGAAAGAGAGCCCTGATGAGTAACACATCTGTGACTTCAGGAAAAGCACATTTTGTTTCAAGGGCCTTTGATAAGCTGCTGGGAGGAAGGGGCCTGCTATGGCCGGGATTCTCAGAACTCTGGCCCTTCCTACTAACCCTGAGCCGGGGGAGGCAGGAAAGCAAGTCCAGGGCCACGAGGCTAGAAACATTTTTCTCTCATTTTTCTGTTGCTTTTTGTGACACTGCCACAACACAGTATTTGCACTATGAAACCCTGAAAACTGCCAAATTTCATCCCATTTGGGTTAATGTTCTTTAGGAGCTTGGCATTGTGTGAGACAATCAGTCATTCCCACGGCCCGGTTCCTATTTAAAAACTGCCCATCTATTTAAAGTTCACGATGAGGGGATAAAAGAAAAAAGACTTCCAAAGCCAAAGGGAACATGAGATAGGCAGAAGAAAAATCCAGTTTGCTTCTAAAAAAGGCTGAAAATTATAACCATCCATGGCCTCATGTCTTAGGTCTGAGAATTTTTTTTTTTCCTCTTCTGGTTGTTTGCAAACCAAAGTGGAATTTTATTATGGGTTACTAAGTGAGCTTTTTCAAGTTCCTAGTCTCCAAAAGTCTCCACTCACTCTGTAGCATGCCATTTAAGTTCTTCCTGCAGATGGGAAAGACAAGGGAGCCCAAATAAAGCAGCAGGCATCCCTGAGCTGGAACCGCCTGCCCCCCCACGCTGCTGCATTTCCCCAGCGACTAGCCAGAGACCCAACGCAGCCGTCTGACCTCTTCTATGAACAACAAAACCATGATGAAGGCAACAGGAGTCAGAAAACTATTCACTACAGGAAGCCCCAGTATCCGGTAAGAAATAAGAAGTACAACAGCACAGGATGCGCCTTGGGTCAGGGGAATGTGAAAAGCCCTCAGTCTTTGTGTTCTTCCCTGTGCCAGAGCGTCTGCGCCCAAGCCCTCAGTTCTCCTTGGAGCTCAGCTGCGCCTGCTGCTGTCACTGCAGGGCCACCAGCCTCCTGCCAAGAGGGACCCGGGGCCATGATGGCCACCTCCGCCAGGCTGCTGCCGCTGCTGCTGCTTCTGGGCCAGCCCCAGGCGGGGGCCCAGGCTCCCGGGGAAGCCGTGGTGTGTGTGGGGAATGCCTGTTACACCGCCCACTGGGGCAAGCTGAGTGCGGCAGAGGCCCAGCTTCACTGCAGCAAGAATGGGGGCAACCTGGCCACGGTGAGGAGTGAGGAGGAGGCCCGGCACATCCAGAGCGCCCTCACCCAGCTCCTGGAGTCGGAGGCAATCCTGGCAGCTAGGATCGGCAAGTTCTGGATAGGGCTCCAGCGCGAGAAGGGCAAGTGCTTAGACCCCAGCCTGCCGCTTAAAGGCTTCAGCTGGCTGGGCGGCGGGGAGGACACGTCTTATACCAACTGGAACAAGGAGGTCAGGAGCTCTTGCATTTCCAAGCGCTGTGTGTCCCTTCTGCTGCAACTGTCCCAGCCGTCCCATGCCAGCCATCTCTCCAAGTGGTCCGAGGGACCCTGCGGGAGCCGGAACTCTCCAGGAAGCAGCGTCGAGGGCTTCGTGTGCAAGTTCAGTTTCAAAGGCATGTGCCAGCCTCTGGCTCTGGGGGGTCCAGGCCGGGTAGACTACACGACCCCATTCAAGGCCACCAGCTCTTCCCTGGAGGCTGTGCCCTTTGGGTCCGCGGCTACTGTGGTCTGCGGGGCGGGGGAACACGGTCAGGAGGATTACTTCGTGTGCAGGGAGAAGGCCCCTGATGTGTTTGACTGGGGCAGCTCGGGCCCCCTCTGCATCAGCACCCAGTATGGCTGCAGCTTCAACAACGGGGGCTGCCAGCAGGACTGCTTCGAGGGGGGCGACGGCTCCTTCCGCTGCGGCTGCCGGCCGGGCTTCCGGTTGCTCGACGACCTGGTGACCTGTACCTCCCGGAACCCTTGCAGCTCCAACCCGTGCAGAGGCTCAGCCACCTGTGTGCCGGCATCCCAAGGGGAGAACTACACCTGCCGCTGCCCCCTAGGCTACCAGCTGGATTCAAGTCAGCGGGACTGCATGGACCTGGACGAGTGCCAGGACTCACCGTGCCCACAGGAGTGTGTCAACGCCCCTGGGAGCTTCCGCTGTGAGTGCTGGGTGGGCTATGAGCCCAGTGAGTCAGGATGTCAGGATGTGGACGAGTGTGCCACCGGCCACACGCCCTGCGCCCAGAACTGCACCAACACAGACGGCTCCTTCTACTGCTCCTGCGAGAAGGGCTATGTTCTGGCTGGGGAGGATGGCACCCAGTGCCAGGACGTGGACGAGTGTGCGGACACAGAGAATGGCCTCTGTGACAGCTTGTGCCTCAACACACAGGGGTCCTTCCGCTGCGGCTGCCTGCCAGGCTGGGAGCTGGGCCCCGATGGGGTCTCCTGCACGCCGGGACCCACCTCCCTGGCACCACCGCCTGGGCCTCCCCAGGGAGAGGATGCAGGAGATAGAGAGGGGAGAGTTGTGTATTCTGCCACAATGTCCAGGCCCATCGGGGACCCTGAGGGCACTTCCAAGGAGGCACCCACCACAAAGGGACCCTCCCTCCCACGCAACACCTTTGTCTCCCCAACTGCACCTGACATGCTGGCTTCCAGTAGGCCCCCTGGTGTCTGGATGGAGCCCAGCACCCATCACCCCATGGCCACCACTGGCCTTGGGGAGAATGCAGATGAAGATTTCATGGCAGAACAAAGCGAAGAGGGCACGGACGGACAAAAGCTGCTGCTGTTCTACATACTGGGCACGGTGGTGGCCATCCTACTCTTACTGGCTCTGGCTCTAGGGCTGCTGGTCTATCGCAAGCGGAGAGCAAAGAGGGAGGAGGAGAAGGAGAAAAAGCCCCAGAATGCAGCTGACAGCTACTCCTGGGCTCCAGAGCGAGCTGAGAGCAGGGCTTTGGAGAATCAGTACAGGTAAAGGAGGCCTCAGGTCACCCAGAGGGGTGGGAGGGTGGGCAGGTGCGGGTAGGTGGGAGGGCAAGGACTGGCACACAAAACAGGCAGAGTACAAGGGACAGGCATTGTCCAGGCTGTCGGCCCAGAGGCGATCCTGAAGGGCTGTTGCCCTGCCTGGGGTGTGGAGTATGTGGGTCTCTCCAAGGGTCTAGATGTGCTCGGCGGGTCACAGCAGCTTCCAATGCTGTCGTGGTTGTTTTTGGTAGTCCGACGCCAGGGACGGACTGCTGAAGGTGAGATGGCCCCAGAGACACTGACAATCAGCCACCACCATCCTCTGACCTTTATGCACCCCGTCAGAAGTGGGGGACCCACATCCTTCCAAAAGACTGGACTGGAATCTTAGCAAACGGTTGTAAACATTCTTAAAAGCCTAACTGCTTGGAATATACAGGTATTTTCTACATGTGTGTGGTATTCCTGAAGTGGGACCACTGGGTTAGGATGTCATTTTGGGAATTTTGTGAATATTAACAATTCTTACTCACTTATCTTGTCAAATTCAAATGTGACTGATTGCATGGCTCCCGCTGATTCTGGATTGGGGGTTTACAAGTCAGGTGTTAATGGGGCTCCTTTTGAACTGCTTTTCTGCTCACTGGAATCATCTAAGAAGAAAAGGCGGTCTGCTAATGCTAATTAGGGTTGGAATGATTTGTTCCTCTTGGTAGAACAGAAACTAAATCGATTGTTTAATTACATAGTCCATAAGAAGTATTTTTTTTGTTTTTGTTTTTGTTTTGTTTTGTTTTTGTCAAAAGGAACATATTCAGAACTGGAAACATTTCTTTACAGTTGAGTTCATGCATTTTCCCATCACAAGCCCTGCGGAGTTTTATAGTTGGAGTCCCACAGAATGACCAGAGTACACTGATCTGCTTAGGTAGCAAGCACGCTGGGAGTTTTGAAATTGCATTTCCTAGTTCTTAGTGTCTCTAATAGTCTTGGGTTTATTTGCAAGTGAATTCTGGAAAGTGTGGGAGGAGGTATGAAATGTTTTCGAGAGCAAGTACTCCAAAGCGCCTGAGAGAGAAGCCTGGGGTTTGTTTCACAAATACTTGAATCAATCCGTCTAAATGCACTTGTGCTAACACACACTTACTGTTGATGAGGTGACTACGCACAAGGGGAAAAGCTGGAGACGTCTTGTCTCTGGGCGAGTGCAGCCCCGCGACACCTCCCGGGCCACCTGCCTTCCCGGAATGCTGCTCTGGATTTAAATGCTTTGATCATAGATGGATGAAGCCCTGAGAAGCCTCTCATTCTGATTACTAAGACTGTGTGAGGGGGATGAGATGCTGAGCTTTGAATGGTGGCATCTTAAGGCATTTTAACATAGCTCACAGCTGGTATTGCTTCTTGAGAACATGATCCTGACTTGTGGCTGTAGCTTGCATGTCAGGGACTGGGCAGGCAGGACACTGTCTTCTTTCTGCTTGAAGAAAGTGTGACACATTTTCCTCTATTTCTTAAAAAAGCAGGGGAGATGGGGCGCCTGGGTGGCTCAGTGGGTTGAAGCCTCTGCCTTCGGCTCAGGTCATGATCCCATAGTCCTGGGATCGAGCCCTGCATCGGGCTCTCTGCTCAGCAGGGAGCCTGCTTCCTCCTCTCTCTCTGCCTGCCTCTCTGCCTACTTGTGATCTCTGTCTGTCAAATAAATAAATAAAATCTTTAAAAAAAAAAAAAGCGGGGGAGATGGGAGGGATAGAGGAAAAGAGAATAGTTCAAAATTTGCAACCACAGAAACCACTCAAAGCAGTTTTAATTTATTTTTAAATGCTTGCTTGCAAAGATTTCCCTTCCCAGTGTAGTGGTGGAGAGTAATTTCTCCCCACGCAGCTCTGCCTGTGTCACTGGAAAGCTCCTCAGGGATTCACCAGTGGTCAGAACTGTTAAAACCTGCCTGATTAGCACTGGGAGACCTCAGCAACAAGCCTGCTGTTGCCTTGTAGAGCAGAACGGGACTATATTTCCTTCTAGGGATTTCAAAATCTGCCTCGAAGAACCAGGGTGCTCTATTGTTTCTATTTTTGCCTTAAAAACACATCTGTCCCAGAGGCGGACACCTGGGGCAGGAAGAGCTGCCGGGTGCATGGCCCTCAGAGTTGAGTAAATATCCTTTAGCTAATTTTGAAATGTAGATGCTATATTTCAGGATTTTTGTTTTGTTTTGTTTTGTTGTTGTTTTGAGAAAATGGATAAGTGAAGGAATAGGTGTAAGGAAAGATGAAGCTTTTGGAGGACTTAACAAGGTATTTGGAACTTGTGCTTTTTAAAGACATCTGAGATTATTTAGATTTCAGTTGAAATACTGATGCTTAACATCCAAGAAGACAAAGGTTGTATCCACTGAGCGCAGGACCCTGTATGGGAACCAATCATGCCACTATTCAGATGATTTTGGAATGCTCTTTGGATTTTGGATGCTCTTGGAAAAACTATATTCAGAACAAACCCACCCCGTCCCCTCACTCTGTCTCCCAAGACAGATCATTTAAGGGGAGGAGGTCCCCTAAAGAGTTAGCTGGTTGTGTTACTGACAATAACTACACTTACGTGAAATAAATGCAAATTCAACAACTTTACCTCCAGGCTTTTACAATTCTACCTTGTCACTATAAGGAAGGAGGCATTCCTAGTCTAGGCTTCCCCTAAGCCCCTCTCTGGACCTGTGGGACCTTTACTGGATGAGGTCCCCAAGTGCGCCCTCTCATTTTTAGAGTTGGATTTCTTCTCCGGTGCAGCCCCAATTCTGATTTCCATGTTCAAATCCCTCTATGGGTAAGAAAATCTATCCCCGACAACATGGAGACCACAGATCCCCACCGTGAAATACACAAGGGAGGAAATGGGCTGGTAAATAATTTCTCAATACCCTCTCCAGCAGAATCTGCCCCTTCCTCGGTAGACGTGCCCGGCCTTGTCTCCTGGCCGCTCCTACTAGTGGCTAAGATCCCAGAACTAGATGACCTTAGGCAGTGAATCTGATGAAAACCGCTGGTCTCAAACAAATGCTATTGTCCTGTTTAATACCTCTGTCATTTTGTCTGAGGGATATGAATCCCTGCTTGGGGAGATGGGGGCCCACAAGCAGTGGATAAACAAATGCCCACTGTCCATGTGGCCAATAACTTACTATTCATTGGCCAACAGTCTTTTTAACCAGAAGCTCCCAGGTGCCTGGGCCATGACGAAGAATAAGAAATGGAAAGGATGGAGCATGGGAGAGGTAGGCTTTGTCAGGTGCAGACTCCTCCGACTGTGTCCCGAGGCTGGGCAGGAGCACTGTTCTGTCCCTGAGCTGTTGAGCAGCAGAAAGGCCAGGACGATGGGGAAAGGGAGACGGCTTTACTTGTCAACAAGCTCAAAGATAATGGAGACTTTTGTACAAATAGAATTCCCCATACTTCAATAATTCTAGGATGCTCTTGGAAAAACTATATTCAGAACAAACCCACCCCGTCCCCTCACTCTGTCTCCCAAGACAGATCATTTAAGGGGAGGAGGTCCCCTAAAACATGCAGGCCACTAGGCTCCTTCCTGAATTTCAGGGATGCTCCCTCCTCTTTTTTCTTGTTCATGTGCACATGTGGTAAAGGACAAGCTCCATCTGAGGACTGTATAAAGCAAAGGTGGGAAAACTCTCTGAAAAAGCCTTGGGAATGGTGGACCTGGTGGGGTCTTTTTTAGGGTGCACCCACCGCTGCTCAGCATTGTGACCTCGAGGCTGGTGTCCCTTTGGTTCATCCACATGCCTGATTATCGCAACCTTTGACATCTGGCACTGCATAGCCCCACGGTGTTTTCCCGGCAGCATAAAGTGGGTGACTCAAGAGGCTTCTGTCTTAAGGACAGGAGGGGTGCAGGCTAACATCCTCCCTGTGATTAGGCAAAAAGGTAGAATAAAAAGTTAAACACGTATGCGGGTGTGTTTATGTGCATGGTACAGGAAAAACTAAGTTGGAAATAAACCTTCTTCCTGAAACACACACGTGCTTGTTGCTATTCTTACATGCCATTCAGGAGCCCTAGTTTGAATACATCCTGATAGGACCTGGGATTTTATCGCCAAACAGCTTTTGGAGAATATGGATGTGATCATTAGCTCATTTTATTCCAACCCTCTTTCCCACAGATATTCCCGTGAAAACTAAGAGAACAGAGGTGAGATTTGACCCCAAAAAAGTACTACATTCAAAATAATGCAGTTTTTAAAAGCAAATATAGGACAGCCTTTTCCTATTATTTTTCTCCTTAGCTTCTCCATTGTCTGAATCAGGAAAACAGGAAAGCATGGCTTTCTAGCAGCTGCAAAATGGTGTAATGTCCCCTCCATATTTCCATCACCTTAAACAATAGATTTAGCATGGGAATCTGAGATATGATCCCTGAAAACATCTGTTCCTGTCTGGCTGCAAAAGCTACTGCTTATGTCTGTAGGGTTTGCGGCGTTTGTCAACCAAAAAAAAAAAAAAAAAAGCTGATAATCAAAATTCTCCATGTGTTCTATAATCAAATACCATATTCCATTCCAGATTCCCGAAACTAATACTTGCTGAAGTGCTTTAAAAAAAAAAAAAAAAAAAAAGAATTGTGTTTTGACCTGTTCTCAGAGATCATGCCCATCTATTTTAGGAAGAAACTCTGTAAATTCTTTCTTACATTGTTCCTCTTATCTGCAAGGGGGCAAGCATTTCCTTTCTGCAGATTTTGCCCTCTGTTCTGGGCTGGGTTCTTTACGCATATTTGGCTGAAGCTTGAATTATGTCGTTCACAAGGCCTTGTTTTGTGATACTTGATGTGATCTCAAATGTCAGTTATCGCTGCACAAATGCTAGATGAGAATGTTTGTATTTTTTAATCTGTGTATTCGAAATGCGGTGCACTAATTCTGCCACTGTGGGATTTCTTCTGTGGGGCTTCTTTCTGCCCTGGGTGCAACTGTTTCCCAGGGTGGGGAGGACAGGCTTGGCTGCTGCATTGGTCTTAGAACTCTGAGAAACCAGGGGCATCTCGGGTCCGCCTCAATGAGTAGCCTGCTTGTTGTCCTTTGTGTTTTATGTCACATGCATAACCTAATAAACTCTGGAATGCAATTGTTGTCAACTTGTTTTAATATATTTCATAAAAACTCAAAATACCTGGCAGAACTTGAATTCATGGTCATTAAACATATCCGTTTCTCTCCTCAAAGAGTCGCTTTAAGAAAGTACCTTGCCTGACCCACTTCTGCATCTTTACCTACGGGTCATGAAAACTAACTCCAGGGCACCTAGGGTGGGGTGAGGGATAAGGACGTTCAGAGGGACTGGGCTGCACTGTGTCCTGTGTCTTGGCTGCTGAACCCAGCCAGGCTGGCCTCGATGGTCCCAGAGTTCGTCTTCTGATCTGAGTCTACTCCCCTATGCCTCTCTGCCCGTTTAGTTTCCTGCATCATTTTAATTGCATGGGGGACACCTGGTGCGGGATTAAACATGCCCAGTTGGTGTGATGTGGAAACACCATTCTGTAATTATCACAGGAGCATTTGCCACCACTTTGTCAGCAAAGCCTTTTCCGTTTGTTTAGCTAATTGCACAGGCAGACCAGATCCCTCCCTGCTTGGCTGCTGAGTCTCACTGTGCCTGAGAGCTGGGGCAGCAGGTGGTCGGATCTGAGTCGGCCTGACTCTCAGACTTCGTACCTGGTGAGAACAGGGCCTGGATAGGAGACAGTGCTCTGCTGCCATGCTAAGGGACAAGACACTTCTGATAACCATTCATTGCTTAGGGTTAAATAAAGCTGATCCTTTTAACAGTCTGATCACTATTGAGATCCATTTGGAAATTCTGTCTTAATATGAACAACCACGGCTGGCCCCAACCCACCCCCCCACCACACACACACACCACAATGTTTACATCCTTCTCTTTCATACTGAAAAACCTGAGGCCAGTGTTTCCTAATTCAGGAAAAGCCCATGAACAAAAATGCCAAATTTAAATTCCTCTTTGTGACTTTTGCTATCTGCTAACTAAAATAACAAATATTAGATACATCTTTCAAATATGAATCTTGTACAAAAAAATTCAATGCATGCACAGTACATTTATTTATTTATTTGCACAATACAAAGTCCATTTGCAAGAGATGACATGGAGATTAAAACGCAAGACTTGCATGCCGTGGAGTTTAACACGAACCAAATGAACATATCAAGTTCTCAGCTGACTAAATGTACTCAGTAAGAGGAGACAAGGCACAGACAGTAAACCCGCAAACTCAAAGCCTCAATGAACACTTCGCAGCTTCCAGAGAACCCCCATGTCATCCTTTGTGGAGGAAACAACCGACAGGTAAGTGGTGCAAAGGTGGCAAAGTGCAGCAAAGAAACGAAAGAGCAGGATAACCCACGAGGCTGGCAACTAGCCCCGGGGAGCCTGACTTGACCGAATGTTCTTCACGAGACCACACACCCACAGGTCCTCACCTGAGCCTCCCGTCACCCAAACTGCAGTGCTGTGAGCCACTTCCCCACCCTGAAATCTTTGTGCTGGGTTCTTCTGTGAAGTCTGTCACCATTGACTTGGATGTCGATCTTCTCCTGTGGTTGAAACTGGTCCATAGAATTCAACTCTATGGTAGGAAGGAGGGAAGGGAAGCAGGAAGGAAAGAGGGAGAGAGAGAGAGAGAGAGAGAGAGAGAGAAGAATGGAAGAAAGGAAAGAAGAAATGGAAAAAACACCAAGAGAAAAAGCAGAAGGAGACAAAGGAAGGGAAGGAGAGAGAGAGAAGAGGGCGTGGAGGATGACTCTGATGTGGCCTGGGTCACTGGGTCACCATTCACACATCTCAGCTTTAGTCTGAGATGCTCGGGGACCACTTGTCCTCAGGGCCATCTCTAACTTCCTGGACCATACTTGCAGAAGGCAGGGCTCTATTTCCACTGAGCTTGGCTGAGGACCAACACCCTCTGTATCATGCTCTTGCCACCTCTTCCTGCAAAGCACCGCTTATCTCTTCCTCTTCATGTTTTATGCCTGTCCACATAATTCATAGCATAACGTCTTAAACTGGGTCAATGCCTTCGGTGCTGTAGAGATCCTTCTGCATTCAAATATCCCACAGAAATACTGAAATTTGTGAGGTAGAAGCAAATAATTGTGCCTTTTCCCTTCTTTCCCCAGGATCTTCCTTCCCCCAAAAGATTATATCACAAATCAGGTGTTTCACTTCCTTGTCAAAATAGTCATCTGCACTCCCAGAAGCTGACCCCCAGGTATCCTCGCCCACCTCGCCCACCTCATGGTGATGTGGCTTTGCTGACCTCCTCACATTTCTATTGCTTTTGTTTTCTACTTAAAACTGTATGGTTAAGGGACTGATGTGTATTTGGCAGATTCTTTACCAACATGAAACTTTCTGAACATGAACCTGAACCTGAGCATGAATGTGAACATGAACTTTCTGAACATGTTTCATATCCTATTTTGTCTATTACAACTGATATACCTGATTATTAGTTGCATTTGATGAATACTTTTTCATTTTAAACATTTAAAACGTTTCAACTTCCTTGTGTCTCCTTGCTTTTCTCTTGCAAAAACAAAGCTGGATTTCACTATCTTCCCCCGCCCCCACCCTGCCCAACCGTTTATTCAATCAAAAGTCTGTCTTTTAATGGGAGATCTAACCTATTCACAGTTACTGAGATGACTAGTGAATTTGCAGTGGCTTATTTTGTACATCCTATTTATCATGTTTTCTTGGTGCTTCTATTCTCTATCAGTTATCGGCTTGCTTGACATTTCTTTGTTTACTTCTCTCTCTTTTTTTTTTTTAAGATTTTATTTATTTATTTGACAGACAGAGATCACAAGTAGTCAGAGATGTAGGCAGAGAGAGAGAGTAGGAAGCAGGCCCCCTGCTGAGCAGACCTCCATCCCAGGACCCTGGGATCATGACCTGAGCCGAAGGCAGAGGCTTTAACTCACTGAGCCACCCAGGAGCCCCTCTTTGTCTACTTTTCCCTTTAATAGTATGGAACTCTTTAAGAACTGCTTGTATTCTTCAAACACTTCATTTTAATTTTTGCCTCCCATCTTCAAACCTGTCCTTCTTCATCAATATCTAATGTTAACTCATAATTATGCCCTTCTCCCTGAAAAAAAAAATAACAAGAACCATAGCAATCTGTGATTTCTTTTCTCTTCTCAGACTACACCAACCCGTAACACCATCACTCACTTTAATTGCATCTGAATTTTAGTGTTCGATTTCTACACTTTTTTTTTTATCAATGCCTGTTTAGATACTATGAATTTTACATGATCCTTTTCTCTGTTCCTCCTCCCCTAATTCCCAGTGCTCTTGCATTTCATGAGAGTGGAGCTAACTACCAAGTGTTTTGGTTGTTTAGCTTTTGTCTTTTTCTGCGGGTGCCATCAAAGAGTACATTTTTTCTGCATCCTTGCATGATTGGAAATAGTTCTTTTCCCTGTCGAATGATGGCTTACCTGGATAATGATTTCCATAATATATAGACCTTTCTTGATTTACAATGGGGTTGCATCCCACAAAAGCTATTGTAAGTTGAAAATACTCTAAGTTAAAAATCCATTAAATACACTTAACCCCTTAAACAGAGCTTAGCCTAGCCTGCCATAAACATGCTTGGGCATTGGCCTACAGTTGGGCAAAATCATCTGACTCCAAGTCTATTTTATAAAGTGTTATAAGTAGAGATAGTGTTAACTATCTCATGTGATTAATGGAATCCTGCACTAAACGTGAAAAACAGAACAGTCGCCAGCGTACCATTTGTTGACCCCCATGATCTCTTGGCTGACTGGGAGCTGCCCCAGCTCAGCATCATGACAGAGGATCATCCCACATATCCCTAGCCTGCGAGAAGATCAAAACTCAGAGTGTGATTTCTACTGAGTGCATGTTGCTTTCAGACTGCTAAGAAGTCCAAAACCCAAGGTGAATGATGGTAAGTTGGGGGCTGCCTGTAAACTATTGTCCTTCAGAATGCTCGAGATGTGGAGCCCTTGCTTTCTCTCGGGGGCTGTTCCAGATGTGAAGACTGGTCAAGCAGTTACTTTCCTTCACAAGCAATTTGTTTTCTTTCTTGTTCTTTCCCTGATGCTTCTATCACTTCAGGTGTGCAGATGTGGTCTTTCTTCGAACCCTGCCTGAGCTAGGCAGTGACTCCCGTCTCAGGAAGGTGCTTTATTCTGGTGTCCATGCGTGCGCACACACAGATGTGTACGTGTGTGTGTGTGTGTGTGTGTGTGTGTGTTGGGATCCCCTGGGGTCCCCTCAGGGCATGCTGAAACCCGGAGAGCTGGACATCAGCCCAGAGTTTCTGAGTCAGTAAGTTTGTGATGAAGCCCAAGAAGTTACATTTCCCATGGGTTTCCAGGTGAAGCTGCTGCTGTCACCGGCCTAGAGACCTGCATCGCCCCCCACCCCCTACCCAAGCTTGGAGAACCTCTG